AAGAGAGCGATATGACTCTCGAAGCATTGAGAAGTCTAAACCGACAACATGGCAATCAGCTTAGAAATTGTCCAACCATAATTTATCGACTTTCCATAGTCAGTTTTCAGTTACACTATAATATAGTATATTATTGGTTATTCCAAAAAAATATGGATTGTGTGTGATATACTCTATCTTATATGAATTCCTTTCCCATCAATTATTCCTATAACCTGCTCTGGAAATTCATATTGGGCAAAATATTGTTCGATTACAACTGCCTCATTATCTCGGCCATTCTATAATTTGTGGAGACAAGTTACTTAGCAAGTATGTAACTTTTCTGGTTGTTGTAGAGCTTAAGGCAATGCAAAATTTACCAGAATCATGGGTGAAATAATTAGAAATGGCAAATTTTTCTTCAATTCTGTTAGCTACTTCCCATATGCTAACACGGAAATGTTAAAAAAACTTGGCCACTATATTCAGGTACAGTAATTTCAAAGTAGTTCTTATTTTTTACTCTTTCTGTTTCTTAGAATAAATCTATTTCATCATCACTCAAGCTGGACAATGCGTCTAATAAGTCATCTGAATCACTGGACTCAAAATCGGACATCTGTAATATTTTAAAAAGTTTATTTAAAACACCGAGTTTTTTTATATTCTATTTTTTATTACCACAAGTAAAAATTCCATATTAATAATACAAGAATTACTATTTTTTTAAAGGCAACTTCCTGTATAAAATGTGACTATTTTTTACTAACATTAAACTAAAATCTTTAACAAAGTAATTATCAAAAACATAAACCTTACTTATAGGTTAATATTAACAAGATCACGTCATAAATTCCTTGAAAACTAGTTTCTTTCTACGAACACCAAATTCTTCTCATAAAGCTAATATTTTTTATTATCTATTTAGTTTAATTACAGTCCGGAATGACATATTTTCATGATTTATATAATTCAAAGTAGCTTACATTATTTATTTTAAAATTTTTAACACATTACAAAAATGACATGATTGATTTATAATTCAAACTGCCGCTTTTTATCTCCCCTCTCTACATATGGGACATATGGAACACTAGCGCCCTCTTATTTTTGTAAGATTTTTGTTTACATGGAGTTCGGGCTCCTTGTATAGTCTCCATGATCCATGCTATGAACAAAATTTAAATGTCAATTTGTAAACTTGATGAGCTTTTTTAGGTTATGTGTCAAGTTTTGGAAAATTTATAAGTATTACATATATTTAAACTCAAAAATGTCTAACAAAAATAATCCAGCTCCAGGAGATGGTTTAAGATCAGTTAAAACAACGAGTTTATTTAGAGTAGTGAACTTTGAGCTTTATACAAAACCTGTATGCAAAATATTCAACAAGGAATTCATGTCCTAATGTAACTACTTTTTAGAATGCGGTTATAATGGCCCTAGGTTTAATAGCTATTAGTGGTTGTGCAGGGTATATTGCTTATATGAGAAGTAAATATGAAGGACTAGGGTATTATGGTGCTATTAAAGAAGATGGTACTGAAGAGTTTGTTAAGAGAAAATCGAAATGGGATTAATACTGAAGAGATAAATATTTATTTTATGGACAAGTGTATTAAATGTAAATAGTGTAAAATAATTTTGCGTTATATTATGAATGTAATAAAATAGAATATTTTTTTTACGATTATTCATTATGAAAAACATACCTCTATTTAAAATTACATGAATATGTGAAAGTTACAGTAACGTGGACAGAAATAAGATTATAGGTACCTTGGATAAAAACACTTATGGAGGTCCATGATGACTTGTAAAAATTAAAATGGTCATATTCTGAAGTGTCCCATCGTTAGGCGATGACTTCTTCAAATATTTCTGTTTTAAGGAAATAAATGATGAATTAAAAGTCGACAAAATAAAATAAAATAAAAGTAAAATATTGTAAACAGTTGTATAGATTTTATGTACTTTTAACTTTTTAAATGTATAGCGAATTTGCCGACTGAACTTTAATACACAATCCATTTTTCAAACTTCATAATGCAACATTAAAAAAACCTACACGTATCTTATTAGTTGATTATGAAAAATATTTTGCAAATACCTATACATGCAACACTTCAAAACCAATCAAATAATTTCTGTTACACTGCTAATTCACGCCATACTTAACTATCACATAGTTTTCATAATCAATATTTAATAGTAAATAAATATGGATATATTTATGAGAATCTGTAGTTTACTTTGCCTTGGTCTGTTGGATAAGTTAAAATAACAATAAGAAATGATAAAGGACGCTGTACTAACTATATATAATATTTAGTTAAACAGGCAGAGAAAAGAAAAAAGAAATTTTCTACGTTTCTAATTTTTGACCTACAAGTTTTTAAAAATTGATGGCGTTTAGCACTAGAGTCTAGAGATAGTAATCCACTATGTTTCAAGGCTCTAGGATGTATGGGCATTTCTTATATTATATGACGTATTCAGAATTCCAGAAATAAGTTTAATGTAATCATTTTTTCGATTTATTTGGTTGTCATATGTTTTACATAAAGAAAAACCAAAACTAATTTATCAGTTTATTTTTTATTTAGAACTAAGAAAAGGCGCGTATACTATGAGCCTCGAAGCAAAGCGGATTTGCTGTCTCTAGATATTATTGTGTTTAGCTTCACTGCTGCTCTAGTTCCTCATCCCTGACATTTAATGTTTGAAATGTAATTTAATGGCGATAATGATAAATTAATCAGTATTCATTATCATTAAATATATGCATTTTATTAAGATGGCAAAATAGTTTATAATGGCTAGTTTGCTTTTATGTAGATTGTTATGAAAAAACAAAAAAAATAAAATTATTTATAAGACAAGCGAAGCCAGGAACAAATTATTATAATATAACTAAAGCGCCATATGAGTAAATAAATAATTATTACTCATATTCATAATTCAAAATTCATATCATAATATGCATCATAGGCTAAGCTCTAATCTAGTACCTTTTACATTTAAGATGTGTAATGTTGGTAGATAGGGATAGCTTTTATAGGTTACCCATTTTGTATTTTGTGTTTTATGTCAAGTATTTATTGACAGCAAAGTGATTAAATGTGATGTGTTTATAAAACTTTTTTTAATATACATCTATTCAAAATGATTAATAAAGAAATAGAGTTAATAATAGACAAAATTTGTAGATGTTGCATGTGCGAAAACGAAAATATGCACAATGTGTTTGAGGATAAAAAAGATTCACAGAGTCCCTCTGTACTTCTCCCAGAGATGTTGATGGCTTGTGTGTCTGTAGAGGTAAATAATTAGACTTTTATAAACAAGTTACATAAATATAAATTTTTTAGGTCGTATTTGGCGATGGATTACCTTATAATGTATGTGAGACTTGTGTGGGTAAACTAAATGCTGCATATGAATTTAGACAACAATGTCAAAAAACGGATTCTGCTCTTAGAGAGTTGATAAATACTGAATCCAAAGCTGATATAGCAAAAGAAGACATTGTCATACAACCAGATGTGCATGATGATATGTTTGACGAAGAAGATGATTTACCACTGATACAACGTAAACGCAAACGAGGGAGACCAAAGAAAAAACAAGATGATAATTACGCTTGTACATTTTGTCACAAAATATTACATACAAAGAAAGGATTACGAGTACATTTAAGAGCACATACCGGTGAAAAAATGAGACACTGCTTATTTTGTGATGCAAAATATACTCGTACAAACCATTTAATTCGTCATATTAACACACATGATAAGCCTGGTTTAACGCATCCATGTGAAAATTGTGATAAAACTTTCACTGTTGCAGCTGAACTTTATAGACATTCAAGAGAACATGAAGAAGGAGAGGGAGAGGATATTAAACTAGAGGAAGATGAAATTAAACCTGAAGTAAATTTAAACAGTGAAAATAATACAACCACCGCTGGAAACCAAATAGAAGTTATAGAAGTCGAAGACCATAATGATGTTTTTAATAATGATTTTCCATTTAGTGATGATGATGATGCTAATATTGATGACGCAGATGATGACTTTCTTACAGCTATAAAGAAGGGTAATGAAAATAAAACCAAGAGGCAGGAAGAGAAAGACAAAACTTTATATCAATGTAAGGAATGTACAAAGGTTATGACTACGTACCTAGGATTAAAAATTCACATGAGAAGACACACCGGAGCCGATTTATCATTTTGCAAAGTATATTATACATACTTATCTTTTAAATTTCTATTTATTTATACCTTTCTTTCAGTTATGTAATAAATCGTTTACAAAATTAAGTCACCTAAATAGGCACATGCTCACTCATGGTATCATAGAAAAGGACAAGATAAAAGCATTTAAGCATAATACAGACGCCAAAGGAAAAAGGGTATTGACCATCTATAACCGACTTAACTTGTTTTTAATAATCTTTTTCATTAATGTAGATCATGGAATGTGATTTTTGTGATCGCAAATTTAAGTATCGGAAAAGTTTCGTTCATCATATGCAGGTTGAACATGGCATGTCGGATACTGAAAGTGATTTTGCAAGTGCAGACGTGGGTGTTGACAAACCAAATCCCGAGTTAACGGACACTGTCATTAGTGCAATTCAAGAAGGTAAAAATGTTTTACACGGTATAATCTTTTTTGATTGAATGGGCTCGGTATGAAATTTTTTTTTCAGTTTTATTGCTTTGAATATTTTACCGTTTTTTGACTATTTTACGTGATGTTGCTAAAATTAGTAATTGTGACATTTTAGATTTTTTTTTTTTAATTTGTGGCAACAACCTAAAACCTTCAACTAGTAAGATAATTTGATATTTTTGGGAAAAACCTTTACTCTTAAATTTTGAGAGATCGATGCAAGCCCATTATAAAATAAAATATTTTCAGCGGGATCCAATGAAGAAAGTCCTGAGCAAAAGCAGGAAATAAAGAATGATGTTGGGCAAGACCAAATGTTACTTGAAGAGGAAGACGCAGACGGTATCCCAGACACGGAGAACCTGCTAGTAAAAAGGGTGAGAAGTAGGAACCAAATATGCCACGTGTGTGGCGCCTGTTTTGCCCGAGCAAACCACCTCACCAGGCATATGACCTTACACCGAGCGATATTGATTCATCAATGTGACAGATGCGAAAAGGCGTTTGCCACAGAAGACTACCTTAAAAAACACGTCGAAGAAGAACATATTAATAAACCGTATGTCTGTACAGTGTGTAATAAGCCTTTTAGCAGGGGAGAGCATTTAATTAGACACCTGAAAGTGCACCAGTCCAATCCTGAAAAAGAGACAAATCTTAAGTGTTCAATATGTGATACTGAGTTTACTAGGTAAGTGTACTAGACATAGTGTGCCCCAATATTCCGTGTACGTGAAACTACCAACCAGTGTTGTTAACTTTGCGGATACACTCACATGTCCATAGGTTCACATGAAAAAATTCGTAGTAGTCCGTAATACAAATTACAAAATCTAAAAAAATTCTGAAAAATAAACGCACTTGGAAATTATTAATTTTCCTCAATGTTTTCCTCCTTTTCACTTCGCCTGCCACCTATAGACGTCACAAAATATATACATGAGCTGTGCATCCGCCGTCTTTAGGCTTTTAGGTGTTTATGATTCTCTGCGACATTCACAAATAAGCGTAGTGATTGGTGGGGGTATCTTACAGCTTATGAGTGCACTTTGCGGTCATGTCTGCTGTGTACTCTTAACACCCCATCCCCTCCCTATTGTTTTCTTTTTGAAATTTGTATAAAGTTGTAAAAAATTTGCTTCTTTTTCCTATTACCTACCTATTTCACTGCGGCTACTGCCTTATAGCGCCACAGTAGGGGAGCAACTCTACCCGGACTGGCGCCGCAGCAGAAAGGTTAATGTTTAACTTCAGAAAACAATTTAAATATTGTAGTTTGTAACGCTGGAACTAATAGTGAGACATTAGATATACAGGACAAGATATCGTAGCTTATAAAACCAATGATAGTGATAAATAGCCCTACTTTATTTACTTGAGATCTTGGTTAATCTCACCTAATTGGAAAAGCATTCAGAATAGTTACGATTAGCTGAGATCTCAGATAAATAAAACAGGGCTAATTTAGCAGCTATGCTACAAGTTATAGCTACTCGTCAAATTATTTGTACAACAAGTTGTCTTAAATTTACCGCAGACGGCCTAAACTCGCCTAAGTTTATGCAGCGTCAAAAATTAAATGGATCTTTTTCAAATTGCGTTTATCACTCATTTTTATTTCTTATGACTATTCATGACGAAAAACTTGTATCACTGTCATATTGTAAAAAAAACATGGAATGAAAAAGAAAAATAAAAGTTCTGTTTGGAATTTTTTTTACACTAGTATTAAAAATAAGTAGAAAACCACAGAATGAAATTTAAAAAGTTATAGATATCTGTGGGCAAAGACCGATTTTTCAAGCATTCATATGCGTTGTCTACACACAATAATAATAATAATCTTTAATTCGTAAAAACATTAACATTTACAATGACAATGTAAGAGCGAAATGGTGTTACAACAGTTTCCCTAAGTTAGTTTAAACAGTGTTCCAAATATTCAGTTACGTTGTAGGGTTCAATATTTAACAAAAATTGTTTAATATGTTTTTTGAATAAATTTACACTCTGTATCTGTTTAAGTGACGCTGGTAAATAATTGAATAGTTTAATACACATGTAATGTGCATTCTTTTCTGTTAGAGTTAGTCTGTGATATGGGTACATTAGATTTAAATTTCTTGTATTATACTGTGACGATGAGTCTGTCATAAAATTATTCCAGTTTATATACAGAGCCGATATAGTCATTATTTTGCTATTCCTAAATACCGATCTACAAGATTGGATGTAAGACATATTATTAATAATTCTTATAATTCTTTTTTGAATGACAAAAATTTTCTGTATGTCAGTGCTATTACTCCAAAACATAATTCCATATTTACAAATAGATTCGAAACTACTAAAGTAAGTGATTTTTGTAGATGTACTATTTACATATTTACTAATTACCCTGATTCCATATATTACTTTACTTAATTTAGCAGCGAGTTCATCTATATGTTTTTTCCAATTTAAGTGTTCATCTAGATGCAGTCCTAGAAATTTTGTACTACTTGCTAATTCTGCTATCTGATTGTCCAGTATGATATTGTTAGGTCTGTTTATTTGCCAGTAACTTGATGAAAAAAGTACTAGTTGAGTTTTATCGTTATTCATGATGAGACCATTCTTTGAAAGCCAGTCCTTTGTTAATTGTAAAAGTACCTCACTTTGTGTTATGATTTCTGGCATGGTGTCTGCCCCTACCAGTAAATTTGTGTCGTCCACATAATTAATAATTTTCTGATTTGAATTTGTGGGTACTTTTGCTATATCATTTAAATATATAATAAACAATAGTGGACCTATGATACTCCCCTGTGGGATTCCTATATTGATCTTCAATTTTTCGGAGCTAAACATGCCGCCGTTGTGATTTATGCATACTTTTTGCTCTCGGTTTGATAAATAGGAGACAATCCATTTCAGAGCCGGACCTCTAATGCCATATCTTTCTAATTTTTCTATGAGAAGGTCATGATTTAAACAATCATAGGCTTTAGCTAAGTCTAAAAACACACCCAAAGCTAGACATTTACTCTCAAAAAAGTTAATGATGTCATTTGTAAAATTATAGATAGCTGTATTTATAGATTTACCCTGTCTATAGCCATGCTGACTATGACTGAATAAATTGCAATTATTCATAAAACTTGTGAGCCTACGGACCATTGCTAGTTCAAAAACTTTTGAAAATGCAGGAAGCAAACTGATGGGTCTATAATTCTCCATTAATTCCGGATCAACTTTATTTTTAAAAATTGGTTTAATGATCGACAACTTTAATTGATGAGGCACTATCCCAAATTTGAATGTGTTATTTATTATATAGGACAAAATTTCCTTAACTGCGCCAAGGCTTTTTTTCATTATGTTTACTGGAATATTATCTTCCCCGCTACTAAATTTGTTTTTTATTTTTGTGGCTAATTCCACAATCTCCGATCCCATAACCGGTGTTAGGAACATAGACTTATTATTAATATTAATAATCGGTTTAAAATCTTTACTTTGATGGTTTGACAATAAATTAGGGATTAAGTCCAATAAAAAGTGATTATAGTCATTAGCTACAGTTTGAGAATTCCCTTTGATAAAGCAATGTTTTTTAGACACCTTTCCTGTTACCTCATTGCAGATAGACCACAAACATTTACTTTTATTATCCAATTCCATTATCCTGTTATCAAAAGAGTTCTTCTTATATATTCTTAAACATTCACATAAACACATATGTTACTGAGTTTTAGAATCTAGAACATTTATAATTGCTAAATTGAATTAAGGATAACACCATACGTAGACATATTTATTAAAACCATAAATAGTCCATAGATTTATCATGTTTATGGGAAAGTCCGAGATCATGTAAAAAATCCATAGTTCTACGGATAAATTAGGGTCGTGACACACAGTTTTTAAGGGCATAACCTCAATAACGGCGCGCTTTAGTCGCGTCAATGCACAATTCCACACCACTCGCCACGAGTTACTTTTGTTGAATGCCACACAAACAGTACTTAACAAGTAACGTAGAAGAAAACTCAAGCAGTAATCAATAATGATAAATGAAATACACGAAAAGAAATAGTCCTTGCGGCTCTCTCAGTTCTTACAAACACTTAATATACCACCTTTGTCGTCGCTTTCCTCTGAATAACAGCCACTAATTATACAACAGACCTGTCTACAGGATAGCCAAATCAACCTGTCGATGATTTCCAGCAAAGAAAAGCATTCAAATTCACAGTTAGATGTACTGTTTGCAAATGCGGAACAACTGATCCCCTTTGCTTTGTCACCATTAACCCGCACTGTCCCCCTTCGCATGTACTGTAGGTTGTCTACAATACATGTATTTGTAACTTGAATATTGGCTGCATACACAAAAATTAAAATGCATTTTAAAAAACTAATTATAACGACTATTTATTTGGTTAAAAAAAAAGGAATTTCAGATTCGAATTCAGGGGAACAAGTACTTTACCCCAAAAAAAAACTGACCCCGCTTAAAGTTACACATGTATAATCAGTATGTCAAAAAATTTTATATATTCTGTGTTAATTATACCATTCAAGTTAAGAAAGCTAAAGATCATTATTTAATTTTTTTGAATCATCTTATTTTGAGACCAACAATCTGCGGTAGTTTCATTAACATGTAATACACATATAGTTTATATACAGGGTGTCCCGTTCATGTTTAAAAAAAACTTGTGTGCAAGTTCCTCATGGAAAAATAATAGGGGTAGTTCATGTACAGTTTTTCTCTTAGACGCCCTGTTTTTGAAATACAGTGTGTTGAAGTTGTTACTTTCCAAATGGTTTTCCTTAATTATCTTGAAATCGGGTAAAGATAAAAATGTCAAAATTTGTACACGAGTAAACATCAACTGTGCGTTAAGAATAATATGCAAACGGCTTCTTTCCGAAAAGCAGTGTCGCCGATACAGGTAATTTAAGGGGTACAATCGAAAAAAAATGTTAAAAGTAAAAATTTATTACATTTCTAAACGGTTCTGTAAACTCTAAAGCATACTACAAAAAAAAAGGTATACATGCACATTTATTTAATTGTGCAGCTGTTTTGTTCTGTATGTCTCCGAGTCTGTTTCCTAATATTTTTCTGTTTTTATCACTTCTTTTAAGCATTCATTTTTATCAACAATTCAGTCCATTCAACAATTCATTGTTTATTTTAGTAATGGTAGTGTAGAAGTTTACAAAATCTAAAAATAGTTAATAATAGATTGTTAATTACCATAATCTGTTTATTTTGTATTACTTTTTTAAATTTTAACTTACAACAAACTGAAACTTAAAATAAATTTTAATTTTTTTTTTTAGTTAATAAAATGTTTTACAATTTAACTGTTTCATGTGCTACGTAAGAAATTAAAATTATGCAAATACTGTTGGTAGCTAAATGTCTTCAGATCATTCAATGGTAAGTTCCTCTTTCAATTTAATATTTTGTTAATGTACTTGTGCCGCTTTATGTGAGCAAAAAAAATGCAACTTAATTTTTCTCGAAATTGGTACATGCTACCAAATTTCGACAAGTATACCTTTTTTTTGTAGTATACTTTAGAGTTTGCAGAACCGTTTAGAAATGTAATAAATTTTTACTTTTAACATATTTTTTTTTCGATTATACCCCTTCAATTACCTGTATCGGCGACACTGCTTTTCGGAAAGAAACCGTTTGCACATTATTCTTAAAGCACAGTTGATGTTTACTTGTGTACAAATTTTGACATTTTTATATTTAGCCAATTTAAAGATAATCAAGGAAAACAATTTAGAAAATAACAAATTCAACACACTGTATCTCGAAAACAGGGCATCTAAGAAAAAAACTATACATGAAGTACCGCTATTATTTTCCCATGAGAAACTTGCACAAAAGTTTTTTTGAAACATGAAGGGACACCCTGTATATTATTTATTTATTTATTTTTCAGGTCTGACCATCTAGCAAGACACACTAAAGTTCATTTGCTACAGGACAAACGTCACGTATGTGTCGAATGTGGCAAGGCTTTTAATAGACTGGACAACCTAAAGACTCATCAGAGGATCCACACCGGGGTCAAGGATAACTCTAAGTTGCACCTATGCATTTATTGTGGAAAAGAATTCAATAATTCCAGTAACATGGTAAGTAGTTGATATAAATTATGATTTATATTAACTACTTAACCGTGTTGCTCTTATTATTGTCTAGATCTCTACATTTTACATTTCATGTGACAGTGCCCTTAAATTATGATTTTCGTTTTCAGATTGTGCACATGCGGAGGCACACGGGTGAGAGACCTTACAAGTGTAATGAATGTGGGAAAGGCTTTCCAAGATCGCACGATTTGAAGTGTCACGAAAGGACGCATTCTGGAGAAAAACCATACTTGTGTACGCTGTGTGGAAAATCGTTCAACAAAAGTAATAAACTGGTAAGTAAATTTCGGAATTATCATGTAGCTAGTTTGTCAGTTTTATTAGTTATTAAGTATTGGTAGTAATTTTGTTTTTTAATTTCCAAAAAGTCAGATTTAAATATTCGTTTATTTCAATTGATGCTCCCTAATTATACTGTTGAAACTTGCTGCCGGAACTGCCAAAATAATAGGTAGTAGAATTATAAATAAATTAAACCGCAACTTTTATTAGGTACCTCTTTTTCTGATAAAATAATTTTATGTATTCTCTCCATGAGAGAAATAAAACCAACATTGAAATAAAATTAATTTTTCAGCTAAGACATAGTCGAGTACACACAGGAGAACGGCCGTACGTGTGCAACATCTGCGGTCGCGCTTTCACACAGTCAAATGACTTGTCTTTGCACATGAGGCGTCATACCGGGGCCCGACCCTATGCCTGCGGTGTGTGTCCTGCCCGTTTCATCCAGTCCGGACAACTGAAAACTCACCGTAGGACAACGGGCCACTGGATGGAAACTCAACCAGACCTGAAAGGAGGGCACAGGGTCGAACCAGTCACGCCAGCCCATGAACCTATGCCTATAAGATTTAAATCTCACGGAAAGATGAAAAAAGAGAAAGAAGTCGTGGAAACTCAGGTTACCGAAATGCAGCAGAATATAACGCTTCATCCAATCGAAGAAGTAAACGTTCCGGAAGGTCCCGACATTCAAACCCAGCCTCAGAGAATCTTGATGGGCATCATGGGTAACATTAAAATCCAGAATGAAATACAGCCACTGATAATCGATAGTACAAAACTCGTGGAGTTACATAATGCGGGGCTCGTCAATCTGCCGTCAGTAATACAAACTACCAACGGTGAAGAGATCAAATTGAAATCAGAGGTTTCCACATTCAATATCTCCCAGTGTGAAGAGAACTTGGAGAAGCACGAATCTAGCGCTAGTAACACATTCCAAGAATCAACGGTGGTTTATTCAAGTATTGGACACACTGCTACCACTTTTACGTCTAGTGAAAACTTTACTTTTCAGAACTACCACTAATGTTAGTTAATTGTAGGTTTATACTTTTTTTATTTTACCTGTTCTGTGGGATTCGATTCGGTTATTGTATAAACGTAAGGAAAAGGCCTTTTTAAGAAACATGCGTTATGTGTAAATAACAGAGATTATGCACAAGGAAAATTCCTTGTACATATTTGTAAGTCGGTTCCAGTTTGGTATCCTGTCTTTTTGTTACTTTATTCATTTTCATAAACGTACTTTACTACACAAAATTTGTTATAACTACAATGTAATTTTTTAGAATAGTTTTGAATTGAACAATGGAATAAAATTCAATTTACTTAATGTAGGATTAAGTAGGTACTATAATATTCACCAATTAAGCAGGAGTTGTACATAATTTTAATTTGTAAGGAGAAAAAGTAATCAAACCTGTATATCTGCTATTTTTAATAAAACTATTTCTTTGAAAGTAACTTCTTTACCTTTTTTATCTATAATTTTTTATACGGATGTTCCGGAAAGGAACGACAATAAAAAAGAATAAAATGATTTATGTACATACAAAATTACAAAAGCGAGTTCTTCGAACGATACAGGGCGTTAAAATTAGGGATCGACCGATACCGATACATATATCGGCATTATCGATTATCGGTATCAGCCGATATGTTAGCCGATATTATATACAGCGCGATTCAGAACTTATCCAAAAAAAAAACTTTGGATGTACAGGGGACACTTACAAATACAATTTTGTGAAGAAAAATTCAAAAAGGGCAGTTTGAAAATGATACTTCTGCATGGCACTGGAAACTGGTCCACTGTAAAATCCGACCTAGCACAATGCGACCGGCATGGCGGCAAAGTGTGATAAAAACGGACAAAAACTTTCGCAAGGAAAGAAATAAATAGAGTTTTATAGTACCTATTTTATATCGGCAAATTCAACTGCTTTTGCCGTTGTTATTATTAATTAATAAAATTTATGGTTTTAAATAATAAGATAATTTAACATAGCTAATACAACTGTTCAAAATTTTATCCACTGACGTGTAAACACATTTGGGTCCATCTTACTCAGTTTCTACGAACTAACACAAATGTTGTCTTGCTTCACCATAATACAAAATGTTGTCTTGCTTCACCATAAAGCAAGCCATTTTTGACACTAACTACTAAAAACTATTGTAAACACCACAGATAACAGATAAAAACTAACGTAATGATGACTGTAACATCGGATTTCAGTATTTGGAGTTGCTGAGGCCACGTGGTTCTCTGCGCATATTGTAAATGACGCTAGAGGCTACAGTTGTCCAGCTATGTAATGGTAGAATGTACTACAACTTCAATAATTTTTTTGTCGGAAACTATAAGGATTTTACATTTTTTTTTAAGATATTGACTCCATTTCTCATGCCGCACAAATTTTTTTGGATAAGTTGTGAATCGCCCTGTATATATTTCTAAAACAAAAATATTTTTAAAAATCGAGTAAAAATACTCGAAAAATACACAATTTATTTGTACAAAAGTGCCAGCCAGATCATTCTTTACCTAAAATAAATGATAACTGAAATGCAACAGTAATTAGTATTTATTGATTTTAGCAGAAAAAATCCAAAGAATAATTACTTGTAAATGTAAAAATGTAAAATGAAAAAATGTAAAATGTAAAAAATAAAGAAAACAGGTATAAATAAGTACATGTATAATGTAATTTAATTAGTTACAAAAAATGATTAATAAATTAAAACTATACTTAGAGGCATGAGAAAAAAAAACAAAATATAATAAAAAATGTGGTCTTCAAAATGTAAACATTATTTTAAAAATATTTATAAATTCATTTTTGGCAAGTTTTGATGTAAGATGTAAGAAAGAAACAGATTTTTTGCATAAATTACAAATTGGATTTTCAGTTTGCTCCTTGTTTTGACATTTTTTCTAAAAATTTCCATAATGGGCTTGATTTGGGCATTTTATTATAATTTTATTGTACAGGTTTTTATTACATGACTACTCTGAATCTGCAGAGTTAAATATAAAACACTTAACGTACGTTTTTTATCCATTTACACAAGGAAATGTTATGTGACGATGAGTTCTGCGGGTTTTCAATTCAAACCACCCGACTGGCGATGGAAATAGTAGAACGGCTGATACACCAATATATTGGTACATCGGCTTTTGATATATCGGTATCGGCCGATTATTGGTATCGGTTAAAAATCGTATATTGGTCGATCCCTAGTCAAAATAATAAAAATAAGTACTACTATAAAAAGATTGCACATAAGGATTGTAAGCTGTTTTGTGATGTGCACTGAATTCAAGGATAACATAACTTGCAATTTATGACAAAAAGAATGTAAGTATACATTTTTGAAACCAATGAAATGAAGAAATGTACATATATGTACACATTTTTTAACAAAACCTCAAAAACATTTTAAACGATATTCCAGTAATCTCCAATGCAAATATGTACCATCAATTCTCAACAAATTATTACAACTAAAATTATGAAACGTAAAAATTATGTAAATATAAGTATACTTTATTGATGCACATATGAATTCTATTAAAAAAAAATTGTTATATTTTGAGACATTTTCTTTCTGCCAAAGCTCATTAACTGCTATGAGTACTTTATCTCTAAGATTGACAAATTATTAATTTTTTCAACATAAATAATACCTTGATTATCCAAGCTGGCAGGGACTATGTCTAATTATGCGCCCCTGGGCGAATATGATTGGCTGCCCCAGTACCTCTTAGTAAATGTAAAATGTCAGCAAAAAAACCCAGAGGAACGGCCCTTCAACCGCCCCGTGGAATCAACCCCTACGCCTTAGTAAAATATGTTGGTAAGTTGGTAACATTCATCATCACACGTTAATTTTGTATAAATATACCGTAGTTACACAATATCGATTATAATAATGTTTTGAAAATTAGATTAATGATATTTGCGACTATTCGAAATAATTAAAATATTTTTTATAATTTGTTCAAAAGTATGTGTTCCTTTTGTTCTTTTTATTGGTTTTTCAAAAAGTGGAATTTATATTGAAAACGTTGCAATAAATAAAGAATATCTGAGAAAATTTGGAAAAAATTTTATTAGGTAACAAAAAATTTCCATAAACACCTGTATGAAAGTTGAAGATAATATCTTGAAAATCATTGAGGCTATTAAGAAAAAAACATTTTGAAAATTCTATTTTAACACAATATGTATTTTTAAATGAAGCATTTATTTTTCTAAATTATCTTATTTTGATCCCAGTAGTCTGTGATTAGTGAGATACCCTATATAATATTAAGATAATAGTTATTTCTTTTTCGACTTTTCCTTATTTGCTGCTAAAACTTCGCCAGGGGCAGGATACGGCCTCTGTTGATATAAAACACCAGATGCAGTACTGTCAGCTCTTGTTTTATTACTCTCTAATCCATCACTCCAGGTACCTTGTGGCACATCAGAGTACGCAGCTGGATCCATCGGATCAATTTCATCTTTTTTAGACTTTTTACTTCGATGGCGATCCTCCCTCCTGTGTCTTCTGTCTTCCCTTTCTCTATCTCTGTCTCTGTCCCTCCTATCGGAATGTTTACTCCTGTAACTTCTTTCATCGTCATCTGAATCTCGTTCCTTATCGTGATCCTTTTCTCGTTCTATACGTTCTTCTCTTTCTTTCATTTTAAGACGATTTTCACGTAACTTAGCAGCACTTTGGCATTTTATAGACTTAGGATGTTTAGGAGGTAACCATGAGACTAAATCATTTTCCATATTCCAATAATAATATCTGCCACTAAAATCATAAATTTATTAGAGAAATGTTTTCTCTTTTGTTAAATAATAAAAACTTACATCCCTTTGTCAAAAACCTCCGTCCAATTATTAGGCATAGGGTACTTTACTAATAATTTCTGCATATTACGAACATATCTTGTATCTGGAGTTGGTACACCTTTCCAGTGCGTTTCACACCAATAATTACACTCATGATATATATTACTTTTGTTGGGGCATGTAGCTAGTCCCTTAAAATCTTGCTTTTTAATATGTTCCGGCTTTTGTTTAGCTGCAATGCATAAAATATTTTTTAGTTCCTATGTTTTAGTTATGTATTTTTTGCGACGTACGTGTTATTATTCCTCTTTTCGATAATTTGGCTAAAAGGACTGGAGGTAATGGCATTCTTAACTGGTTATTGTAAAATAAACAAGAAAACTTTTTAACTTCTTTCCAATTTAAATGTATCCATTTGTAGGTTATGTTATTGTTGTTGAGTTGTTGACAATTGATGTTTGTTTTCCTTTTGTTCAAATTGTCAAGAGTTATCTGATCTGAATCTAAATCTGAATTGTATAAGTATATAAGCAGTCTGTCGTATTGGCCCTAGATTAGAGAACTATATACTAGGGGTTTACGATAATTGTATCGGAGTGGTCGGAACAAGAAAATGCCTTACGATTCTTACGAATATTCACTCTGATGATTCGATCCCATTACGAAAATGCAACCTCAACGCTCAGATATCGAAAATCTAAGCGCTCCCTTGCTTATTTGTCAGATTAAAGAATGATCTGAAATTTGTGTGTTGTTTATATGTTTCATTATGTTACAAAGAACGATTGTTTTGTTGACTGTTGACTGTGAACTTCATTTCGTTCTCTTCAGTTGTCTTGTATAGAAAAAAAAATAAAAAATGGCAATATGTCAAATAACAATTTAGATATGGTAGATGTAGATGAATATTATTACCGTAGTGGCACATCACACAGGTACCACTTTTCTCATTTATTTATAGATTATAGAATTATTGCATGTATATAGGGATAGAGGTTAGATTAGATCGATTTCGACTAGTTGCTTACGAAAATAGTCAATTTAAAACAGTACTCTGACCAGAGTAAGCAGCGCTCGGATCAGTTGGTCAGATATATTTTTCGTAAACCCCTATTATATAGCATAGGCATAGACCATAAAACATATGTTTTTATTAAGTTTTCTATGGCATAGGCATATACCTAAGTAATAGCGATTTCCATTGAGAAAACTGGTGCACACTGAGTGCACCATTGACATTCCATTGGTCAAGTCGGTGCAAATTTTCAAATTCCATTGGAAAACTAGAGCAACAGTTCTTGCTCTTGAGTGCATATTATTTCGCACAAGGTCTTGGAGCTGGTGTCGGTGTCAGTGCAAGAAAAAATGGCGGTAAATATGGACAAAGTTGTTGCTCCATTATTATCGTTTTTATCTAGTAGTAGTGATGATGATAAAATGTATGTTATACCAGTTAACAACTGCCAAAAGTGGAAGGATTCATTGAAAATGTCATCTACAAACTTAAATAGGTTATCCGTTTCGTCTACAGCAATACACAATGTAGCTTCCTCGTCGTTTATTTTAAATTTCAATTTAATTCTTGGTTCATTGTAACTACC